AAGGTATAAGCGAACGATGAAATTCGTGACCAGAGGCCGATTTTTACATGTGGAATCGCGGCGAGACGCCCATTTTGAGTTTTATTTTTTATATATTTATAGTCTATAATTATTGCACAGGCGAGGCCCCCAATCACCTGCTCATGCGCAGAACAGCCGGCACGCTCTTGCCACGACGAGCCACGTGTCGCATAACAGGGTACCATTTGCTCCGCGAAACCGGATTATTCCGGTTTACAGCTGCAGATTAGATCGCTGGACGGCGTCCGGGGGCCGGCCCGGACGGACGGGACGCCGGTCCATGCGGGCTCGGCCCTGTACCGCTCGCGCTTGGAATGGCGGCTCCGCGTGTGCTGGGGAATCCCGTGCCCATCATGACGGACAACTGCGACGGGTACAGACGGCTGTGTTTGCAAATTACAGTGATGAAACAATGGTGTTATTAACGCCCGGAGCAAAGCAGCCTGCTTTCCTTCTCCACAAATACAAGTTTGTAACAAATAGCGGATGTTCTCCTCCAGCCGAATTCGGAGTCAGTAGTCGCCCGTCGTCAACGTCCTGTTGGTAACAATCATGGGCATTGTTGTAATTTCATCTCCGAGTTGCTGTCGCCTGTCGGTACCCACCCGACCTGCCCAGCTAGTCGAATGACCCTCCGTACCCTACGGAACAGAGCGGCGTGAGCAGCCGCACCCTACGGACAGAGCGGTGTGAGCAGCCGTACCCTACGGACAGAGCAGTGTGAGCAGCCGTACCCTACGGACAAGCGGTGTGAGCAGCCGTACCCTACGGACAGAGCGGTGTGAGCAGCCGTACCCTACGGACAGAGCGGTGTGAGCAGCCGTACCCTACGGACAGAGCGGTGTGAGCAGCCGTACCCTACGGACAGAGCAGTGTGAGCAGCCGTACCCTACGGACAGAGCGGTGTGAGCAACCGCACCCTACGGACAGAGCGGTGTGAGCAGCCGTACCCTACGGACAGAGCGGTGTGAGCAGCCGTACCCTACGGACAGAGCGGTGTGAGCAGCCGTACCCTACGGACAGAGCGGTGTGAGCAGCCGTACCCTACGGACAGAGCGGTGTGAGCAGCATACCCGACGACAGAGCGGTAGCAGCCGTACCCGACGGACAGAGCAGTGTGAGCAGGCGTACCGACGACACTCCTGCACGGACGCTGTGCGCTGAGTGGGTTGCAATAACAGTCGGTCAGCACCCAGGCCGCGAAGGGTTTTGATGCGTGCCGTGTGGAGGCGTCGCTGAATTTCGATCGATCGTCACGCTTTGCTTGGGGGGGGGGGGGAGTGACCGACAGACTAGCTTCGACTGTATCGATGCACAGGCCGAGAAATTAGGGAACTAGGGGCACCTGCCTGTATGTTTTTCGTGAAAGTTTAACACTAACCCTGCGGTGATGAACGAAAAGAATCAACTTTAAAGACGGATGACCTTTTCACTTAGACTTTCCTGTCACCGGAACTGCTACAGTGGAGGGTCTCGGCAGACCCGACACCTGCACTGTAGCAAAGGTGCTGGTGCTGGCCCCTGTGGCCAGCAGGTGTCTCAGTCCTGTGTTGGCCGACTGACAGACGCCTCAGCACTGGCTCAGGCCGGTAGACACCCCGGTTCTGGCTCGCTTTGTCGGCCGGTATCTCATCGCTCTCTTGTCTGGTCGGTGACTGCCAGTTCTGACCCGGATCAGCAGGTGCTTTAGTTCCAACTCCGCTGATGAGCACAGTACCCGCTCCGTGGTCCCAGGTGGCTGAATCAGCCGACATCTCAGTCAGTTCCAACTCCGCTGATGAGCACAGTACCCGCTCCGTGGTTCCAGCTGGCTGGATCAGCCGACATCTCAGTCAGTTCCAACTCCGCGGAGGAGCACAGTACCCGCTCCGTGGTTCCAGCTGGCTGGATCGGCCGACCATCCCAGTCAGTTCCAACTCCGCTGATGAGCACAGTACCCCGCTCCATGGTCCCCTCTGGCTGGATCAGCCAACATCCCAGTCAGTTCCAACTCCGCTTGATGAGCACAGTACCCGCTCCATGGTCCCATTGGCTGGATCAGCCAACATCCCAGTCAGTTCCAACTCCGCTGATGGGCACAGTACCGGCTCCATGGTCCCATCTGGCTGGATCAGCCAACATCCCAGTCTTTGTTTTGAAAAAACACACCAGCCCTGACTCAGCTGATCCGCAAGCACCCTGTTCTTGCACGGATCAGCAGGCACCGTGACCTGGCTTTGATCAGCGGCCACCCCGCTCCTGGCTGGGATCCGCCAACACCCCAGTCCTGGACCGGCCGCTCTGGCGCGGCCATGGATCATCCCCCCTCCCCCCCTCAGGCGAGCCCAGTCATCAGGCTGATGGGATGGGGTGCGTCAGCTGTGTCCGTGCCGGCGGAGGGAGGGGGTTACCCGCTCCGTTCGCACCTGGCCCGGTCACGCAAGACGGTCGTCATCAAAGCGAGAATCCCGGCAAATTAAGAGGATAAACGCTTGCTTATCATGGTGGAACGCACTGTTTTTGGGGTACTGGACAGGGCTTTACTCTTGTTCGGTTGTGGTATCGTAAGCAGTCCTTCCTGGACGCTGCTGCGGGCTTTATGTCTGCCTGTTGCGTTAGATGCGTTATTTCGCAGGGAGGTCCTAAGCATAGGCATTGCGAGCGAGACCGAGGGCTTAGTGTAGTCATGTACCATATCCATGTTCCAACTACGGGAGAATTTTCAGATTGGGAGGACCTCCCGGTTATCGCCGTACAAAGCGATAACGTCGTTGACTGCATCCCCTCGCCGTGTTCAGCACTAGTAGCACAATTGTTCGCTAGTTTTTCTTCTGCGTGTTGTAACAGTTCTTTGTTTTATTACTGCGTAGCGCGTAGAAATGTACCAGCTACGAATTACCTGGAAGGCCAACACTGCAACCTTCAAGTTGAGCCCATATGCCAGCGGAGAAAATCCTCTAAACGTATTGAGTTATTGCGCAGCCAAACCTCAGCGGAGCTTGTTCTTCTTGGGCTGAACGACCGCACTCGTGGCTCACTGTTTTTGATTTTCTAGTAAGTTCATGAACCTTATGGCGTATTTAGCTCTGACAGGGCGGACGGCATGGCCGATAAGCCCTTTTTTGTGCCTTGTTTATGGACTCCAAAGGCGTCTGGAATCATTCGCTTAGGTCTGGTGTCACCTAGCGTAACAACACTCATCTGTGGCGTCACATCGCTTGTCCGACACCGGACAAGGCATGTTACTGGTCTACCCGTGTCCTATCAAGGACGTACACCAATAAAGTTATCTTAAAAGTATGCTCGTGTGCTCGTGAACTGTGTCTATGTTCTCCTAGTGGAGCGGACGCTTGGTGTTGATTGTGAATTGCGATGCCTTTTAATTTGTGTCGTGCGTGTGCTGTCTTGCCATTTCGTTCTTTCCCATCCATGATATACAGCTTCAGATGTGTGTGTGCTTCTTAAGAGTGTTCTTTGCGTTTAGAATTCTTGCTCTTTATGTCCTCGTTAGTATCTTACGGCCCACGTGTGCGATGCGCGCTTCTTTTATTTGTATCATCATGCGCTACCCGTACTCTCGTGATCCAGTTTCTGCAGTCCCAACGCTCCCTGTTTGGAGACCCCACTCCAGAGGGCTTCCCGTCGTTAGCCCTCCTCCGCACGCTCCGCACGTGCGACCCCGATGTGACCCCGCTGTGACCCCGTCTGCTCCGTCGCGCCACGGCCCCGCCCGGGCGGTGGGCTGACGCTCCTGCCTGCTGGCAGGCCTGGGACCTCACCGACGACGGCAACATGTACAAGACGCTGTCCGAGTGCCGCGTACCGCTGCTGCGCTGCTCCTGGAGCCCCGACGGTCGCCAGCTGGTCGCCTGCGGCCAGAGCAAGCTGGTAACTGCCGAGCGCGCGCGCCCAGGCCGCTGGACGGGCGGAGTCGGACCCGGCCGCTGCTGGCACGGGTGGCGCACGGCTGCCGGAGGGAACCAGCCTACTCGGGAGTGCCCCGCAAGGGAGGAACAGACGTTCTCTGCACGGGCGGCGCACGGCTGCCAGGGGAACCAGCGGCTGGGGAGTGCCGCGCGAGGGAGGAACAGACGTTCTCTGCACGGGCGGCGCACGGCTGCCAGGGGAAGCAACGGCTGGGGAGTGCCGCGCGAGGGAGGAACAGACGTTCTGTGTGCGGGGGGCGTACGGCTGCTAGGGGATCCACCGGCTGGGGAGTGCCGCGCGAGGGATGAACAGACGTTCTCTGTGCAAAATCGTTGGGTGGAAATATAACCGGTTGTTGGATGGTGGGGAATGACCGCTGCAATCAAGACGCTGATGGAACCCAAATGGTGCTAAACATCAGCGCTTGCTGCGATCTGTCTTCGGATATGGATGGGGTGCACAGTCGCAGTCGGCATTGCAAACTTTGCGAGCACAGTGTTGCCCATTTGGAAGAGGTCCATACCCGTAGTATTTTGAGACGGTCGCACGGTGCCTTTACTGCCTCTTTACTGCACATCTCAAGTGGGTCTACTCAAGTGAATCGACACTGAAATACGACTGTATTATCGCGTGTTGCAATAAGCCCCTCAATATCAAGTAACGATCAGATAGGGGCTCTGAGTAGTTATGGTACGTCACACCTCCTCACCTTTCCATCCCATTGAAGAAGATTGCCTTGGTATGGGCCTTATCTGTACATTATTGTCAGGAACTGCGTTGTGAATCGGACGAGTCATATGTGTACCAGGTATCATAGATTGTTGGGTCAAGTCATATCTGGTTAAGCCATTGTGTATGGTTGGATACAGTCATATAGGGCTGTCCCACCGTTCATCCTTGTCGTCCCCACGACGCTCCAACTTTGCCTAAAACGACGCATCACACCACATTTTGCCTAAAACGACGCCTCACACCACATTTTCTACATTTCAGCTTTACGTATACAATATGGTGACATACAAGCGTCACTTGGTACTGGAGGGCCACGTCCACGACGCCACTTCGTGCTCCTTCAGTTCCGATGGCAGGCTGATCATTTCCGGCTCGCTCGACACGCGCGCCATCGTGTGGGACGCCGAGACAGGTGTGTTTTTACTTTCGCCCGCTTGAGGGCAGCATGCCTGCTCACAGTTAGAGCGTTAGAGCCGCAATATCATTAGCTAAAGGCGTTATATGATGCTACGGGTTGAGGGTCCCAAGTGCGCCTATGCCTCTTTCAGTGCGAAAACTAGCACGCAAGTCGTACATAGTTCTGGAAGCGGAAAGGTTTGCGCGCAATTTTCCGCACGGTATGCGCGCCCCTATATATGTGGGAACCACACACGACTCCGCGCTAATGTACGCACCGCGCGCCTCAAGCGCACTTGGGTCCCTCAGCCAGTCTATTTATTGTTTGTGGTCTTTGATTCCGTTACACGGTCTGCGTGGGCTGGGAAGATGGCTGTGCAATGCGCCACCTCAGTTGTTCAAATTTGTAAGAGGACCTAATTCTCAGCTGCCGTGCCGGGCAACATCCGTTGACGTAGCGGAGATCGCTATCACAGGGCAGGATTTTTGACTGATGCTCTCTATGAAGGCCTCTCGCAAAATGTGTTTCCAATTACGCCTCCACTAGGGGAAGTATAGTTTGCATCATCAGACTGTTCCACGCAATTGGATCAGCCCGTAGCACGCAATAGATCCGTTTTCGTTACCGTTACACATTGGTTTCAATGAACTAAGATTGTACCTGTGGCTGCAGGAGTATATACGAACGATTATTGATTAGGACTATGCCCCTTTTTCATTTACGGGGATGTGTTGCACGTGCTTCGGCTACTGGTTCAGTTCTGGATTGTACGCTGGCTCATTGGGAGCCAACCACGTGCCGCCATATTCGTACAAGTTTTATTTCAGACCAGCGACCAGTGGATTAGACCCTGGCAAGCGGAAACGATGGTAATGCAGCAACTCAGTTCCTCGTGTTTTCTCTGTAAAGTGGCGCCACCGCCGCACTGCTATCGGGGTGATGCAGCTCCGAGGGCCTTTGGCCCACACTTAACTTTTCAGTTATGAGTAGAAATGTAGTGGGCGTTTGCAAATGAAAAATGGGCATGGAGCTCCATTCTTCCGGAATCATAGATGTGAAATAGCTATTTACTAAATGTTATTGCAATTTCGAATGTCTGTTGAATATTATATATCAACATTAATCCAATATGCGCTTGATCCTGCAAATCTTCTATTAGCGGGTGGTGCTGCCTGCTACTTATATCGACGCCGAAACAAAGCTACCAACATAAAAATGCATCCGTTGCGTCCGTTGAACAACGCCAGTGCGGGATTGTCACGTGGCTCAAGCGGCGTCGTGTTCACAGGGGCGCAGCTGCAGACCCTGCTGCACCTGAACCCGCCGCCCCGCCTCATCTTCGCCTCGGGCGAGAACGGCGCCTGGGTCAGGGCGGCCGTCATGTCCAAGTCCATGTGCCAGACGGCGACGGTGTGCGAGGACGGGTGAGTGCGGCGGGGTCGCGGCTTCTGTTGGGGTCAGATCGCTCGAGGACGGGTGAGTGCGGCTGGGTCGCGGCTTCTGCCGGGGCCAGATCGCTCGAGGACGGGTGAGTGCGGCGGGGTCGCGGCCTCTGTCGGGGCCAGATCGCTCGAGGACGGGTGAGTGCGGCGGGGTCGCGGCCTCCGTCGGGGCCAGATCGCTCGAGGACGGGTGAGTGCGGCTGGATCGCGGCTTCTGTTGGGGTCAGATCGCTCGAGGACGGGTGAGTGCGGCTGGGTCGCGGCTTCTGTCGGGGCCAGATCGCTCGAGGACGGGTGAGTGCAGTTGGGTCGCGGCTTCTGTCGGGGCCAGATCGCTCGAGGACGGGTGAGTGCAGCTGGGTCGCGGCCTCTGTCGGGGCCAGATCGCTGTGGTCAAAAGTACCAGTACACCTTGGGCCGCGCTGGTCAGCCGGGTATATTCGCCGTATTATCCTGCTTTACAACCAAGCTGTTCTTGGTCGTACGCCAGCGTCGGCGATTTTAAACTAAGGCGAAGAAATGTGGGCATGCAGCGCGTCTTTTATACAGCTGGATAGGCCCTGGATACTGTGGCATTCATTACACGCTCCCCAGGAGGCCTTTAGACATGCTTTGATTTCGTTTACCAGTCACGCGAAAAGCATGGTGTTAATTTTTCTGCACACGTGTGATGCGTATGCGTTTTGAATATTTCTGCTGTCGTGTTTTACCTCGCCTTCGTTTTGTCACGGTCTGGTGTTGCTCTGAGAACGGCGAATCGTATGACGTCACGCCAGCCCCGTCTCCCACCGGCCGTTTCCTCCTTTCTCATCACGTAAACATCAGTGGCAGCCCAGTCCGCGGCGATCCGCTCAGCAGGCTGCCGATGTCCGCACCTGACTCCATTTGCCCCGGCCAGGTTCGTTCGGTTCTGGAACGTGTGGCAGGAGTCGTCGGAGCCGGCCCTGTCCGTGCTGGTGCCCCGCATCAAGGAGGACGAAATGCTGACCTCGTGCACCTTCAACGCCGCAGGCAGCGTCCTGGCTGTGGGGTGAGTTGGCAGGGGGGGGGGGGATGTTGCGCCGAAGGGGACGTTGCGCCGTGCCCGTTCACCGGCCTGTGTGCCACAGGGGCTTTACAACGCACTCAGCTGCTGAGGATTTTTGGCGTTGCCTGCCTCCAACCCTGGCAGGAAGGGCGGGCACCGCGGGGAATGGCACCCCGTACCTGTGGTTTTCCAGGCGCGGAGTGGTTCCGCCCATCGGCCTGGGTATGCCGGCGTTCACAAAGATGTTTTGTCACCCACACGGCTGTCACATTTTAGAGGAATACAGCTCCCTTGATAGACTCACAAACTGGTTTCTTGCAACGGGTTACTTCGCGTTTTTGCCGTGGATCGCTCTTGCAATGCGTGTAAACCTGTCGCATGCTGAGTATGAGCTTAGGGTCTAGCGCGAAGAGGTCAGAGGGCTGGCCAAACACTTTTTAAGTTTTAACGAAGCTTTCTCGGGCGGAGGAAAGATAGTGAACCTGAAGCAGCACCGAAAGGCCAGGAGTTAGTGGCACTAGCCTTCAATTGGGGCCCTTTTAAAGCTAAATCGAGCAGATATATTGCCGCGTAAAAAAACTTACCGTTGGCGAAAACAGGTATCATGTGAAGGAAGAGATGCCGTGTACTTTTGAAGTGCTGAACTTAAAACAATCTCTAACCGCAATCCCTTCAGCTATTTTTGTCACCGATGGCGTGATCAGGTGCCGTCGGATCTTTTAGCGTCATGTACGGATACAGTTGTGTATGGTTAATGGACGAAGTTGTGAGGAGCCTGGCGGCTGACGACGCGCCCTCACACCCGCAGGACCAGCCACGGTAGCGTGACGTTCCTAACCGTGCCAAAGCATATTCCGTCCCTGATGCACTCCGCGCGGCGCGCCATCCGCATGCTGACACCTGGCGAGGACGTCGAGAAGCTCCCGCTGCCCGCCGGCGTCCGCGCGTACCTCCGATACGCGCTGTGACGGGCTGTGACGGACGCTCCGGAAGAAGAGGGTGTCCGTGATGTCGACTGTTCTTGAGGCATTCCAAATGGGGAATGGTGGGGTGGATTGCGCGGTTTTGCGTGTGTGTGTGCAAGTGTGACGAAGTTACCCAGTGTTCTACTACCGCATTCACTCATCCCGCAGACGCGGTCGTCTCAGTTCAAGTGCAGTTGAGTGGCGCGTCTGATTTCACCACATGCCATCTCACACTGGGTCGGTTGGTGAGTTGTGAGTAGACTAACGTTTCTTAATTTGTGAGACGCGATGACTGACAGGCGAGTGCGTGTCCCCGTAGCCATAGCTTTATGCTAATGTCGCCACGGTTCTGTGGCTGCGCCACAGCCTTAAACTACAGGCGGGATGTTGTTGTGATAGTGCCCGATGCTTAAGATCGCAGCTGACCGCCCCACGCGGTAAAGCGAGATGGCCACTTTGCTGTGCCCTTTCCTCCCTTGCAATATGATAGGGCTTACTGCCGTCGCAGACTGCCCTGCTCGTGTTTTACTGTTGGATTCGCGTGTTAACGGATTTGGGTGTTTGTTGGAAACCAACAGAGCTCAGCAACGCTTCTCAAGGGACGTGTGTCGGGGTTTTATTACAATAAACGTTTGCATGGCGACGGTGTTGTTGACGTCACACGAGCGATGGACGTTGGACAGTCCTCCGCACTTGTTTGTAACGAGTGAAGCCACGGCTGGAGAAATTAGTTGGAACCGAGAGCAAAGTCCGCATCGGACCGTCCGACCCGGCCAGTCCGCCACGATTTCAAAAAGTAAGCATCTTTGTTGATACGATGGCTGCCAAAAAGCTGGGCAAAACGTGTTGAAACCGGCTTCAGATCTCAACGGCCCGGCGCCACAGAAGCACAAGCCAAGCACGGTTTGACGTATCAGGGAGCGAACGATGACATTGGCCAAGTTGGATCGATGTGTACAGCTTGTTGCGTGGTATTAAGCGCGAGACGTGGATCCGCTTGTATTTTTAGTTTTTCAGGGGGTGGGATGGGGTAAGGAATGTGCAGTCATGGTCATATTACACAGTCGGTCGTATCTAGGCAAACAGAAAAGTCGGACTTGACATGATCTGCGTGATGTAAGCGGATATACCGTTCACAAATCCACTGATTTTAACGCCGTCCGATCAATACGCGCCCCAGAAGTCGACCTGGAAGCGGCCATGCAGCTTTTCCGAAACCCGGCTTCGAATATGATGCATACTCTGGACTGAGAGCTCGGATAAGTACATCCCCGCAGCCGTGCAGTTCAGCTCATTGCGATAGTTAACAAAATATTTACATTTCTGCGCAACAATTTGGTCGGCTTAGCCGAGCTTTGCGGCTGCTGTGAGCCGGTTAACACACCAATTTTTAGCAATGTGCGTTGTGAAATACGACAACAGTTCGCATTTAAGCGTGCAAAGACCACTATTGCACGCTTAATTATAAATGGCGACATTTTCACGTTGTCAGGCTGTTTGATGACACCACCAAACAGCCTGACAACTTCTCGTGGAAGGCAAACATTTTAACGCTTTGATCACACCCGATGGTACAACTTACAACTTACGAAATGTCTTTGACTGCATTACCTTGTTTTTCATCATTTATATGATGGCAAATGCCATCATTCACGTCTGGTGCCGTCTAGATCGTCCCAGGCCGCATTATTCGTCCTTCTGGTGGTCGGCTGGTGCAATCAATTCCAAGTTTTGTTGGGAGGGGGGATGCCCTTCGAACGTCTCCATGTATCATAGTGCACTTTGGGGCTGAGCCTCCAGCCTCTGCGCTACCGCTGCAAATCCAACTATCCTGCCTCATCTGATCACCGAGCATCATTCGAAAAGGTTTGCTTGGCGAAAAGACGAGTAATCGGCGCTTGCGACGTTTTGTCAGCGCTGTGTGAGCCGATTGCTCCTGCTCAGCAATTGGTCATGTGACGTGTGAAATGGTCACACAACGAACATCGTTGATTGAGACCTTGTCCAGGAACAGAGCGTGACTGCGTGTTCAACGTTAGTGAGACGGGAGACCAATTTTGCCGGGTCCTATTCAGTCCCAAGGCTGATATCGAATCACAGTGGAAATGTCAGTTCTTCAACCAGACCCGCAGGGCTGTGCCCTACCAATCCGTTAAAACTCGTCGATAGCGGAGCACTCATCCCCAGGTTCCTACTACCAACGGCATGTCGCATTAGGGCGGCCTCGCCTGTGACGTCGATCGAACGGCTACCTTGGGAGCTAACGCCATCTTGCGTGAACACCGCGAACCAAGCACTTTCGGCGCATTTGCGCGCAGTACTGCCGCGGGGCTGTTCATAAATTATGCTACGAATGAAGGGGGAAGGGAGATGATGGAGCGTAACCGAAGCGTTGCAAGGGAAGGGGCTCTTGACAGCGTTTCGTTGTGCTCAAATGCGGTTGCAAGTTATGACATAACCTTTAAAATATTTGCAAACATTACCACCAATGTTTTTCTCACACTCCACATCACACTAGGATGTGTCCGATATTCGCTGTTTGCTGACAATCTTGCTATATGGAGCTCACAGAGAGACTGTCAAAAGTCTTCCTCAGCTATACAAAAAATAATCTATTATTGTGTAAATTGGTGCTCAGAATGGGTATTCTTTCTCTCCGCTCCAAAGTCCGCCATGCTCATTTTCAAACGAGGTCCCTTGCCGCCACTTACCGTCTCTCCAAGCACACATAGAGCATGTCAAAAGCTTAAAACTTCCAAGCACACATAGAGCATGTCAAAAGCTTAAAGCTTGCAAGCACACATAGAGCATGTCAAAAGCTTAAAACGGCTTAACGTCCTCAGGTGCCTTGCTGGTCATACCTGGGGTGCAGACCGAACGGTGCTTACCACACTATATCGGTCTCATCCGATCAACACTGAAGTATAACAGCTTCATATTCAGTACTGTCTCGGTCAACCTTTGCAAACGCTTGGAAGCCATTCAACCAACCTGCCTGCGTCTGATCACAGGGGCGTTCTGCACGATTCCAGTTCTCGCCATCCGTGCTGACACTAACCCTGCCAGCGCTGGCAGACCGGCGTTACTTCTCGCTGCTTCGGTACTAGTACAAGTCGCAAAGTGTGATAGACCACGAGGTATGCGCTGCTCTTGAAACCAATAGACCGCACCCACAAAGACAGCAGCGGAGGCCGTGTTTCCTGTCCGACGCTGTCAAACAGGCCCAACGAGCGTTTAACATTTTATGCATTCGTGTTGCTCGTAACTCTCCATTGACACCTTTCTAGCTGTACAATGATCTTTCAATAGAGAGGGAGAGAGACTATTTATATCTAATAAATCGGTATTGTCTCCCATTGAGGTACAGTCTGCCTTCCAGGAGTACCGAAATGCGCACGCCGAATCCGTTTTCTTTTACACCGGTGGATCTGCTCATGGTGACCAGGCTGGTGCAGCAGCCGTCGGTCCTGACTTTCGATTCACCGGGCGTCTTCCAGACTTCAGTACGGTGCTCTCTGCGGAAGTATACGCCATAAAACGAGTCCTGTTAATATCAGAGTCAAACGCATTCCTCAGGCTGCGATATGCACAGACTCCAGGGCATCGCTGCATGCACTTCAGCGACTCGATGACTTCAACCACCCGGGGGTGTATGACATCCATAATATAATGCTTTCGCTGCCTACCGACCAACAAGTGACCTTTCTGTGGATACCGGGACATTACGACATCGCGGGAACTATCCTCGCCGACACCTCTGCGAACGGAAGTGTCCGTCTACTAACGCCTCTGGGGGTGTCTCTGGCACTAGGGGATATTCTCCTTTTAACTCAAGTCCGTTTCGCTTGGTAGTTGCAGAATCAGTGGGATGTCTCGCGTGCCAGCAACATGTATCAATCAAACCCGCACTCCAACCATGGGTGACCAGGAGAACCGGCAGAGAGAAGTGGTTTAGGTGCGTCTGAGATGCGGCCACACTCGTCTCACCCACAGTCATCTATTCAGTCACTCTGCACCACCGATCTGCGAGACCTGCAATGTTCGGCTTACGGCTGAACACGTCTTGGTTGGATGCGCTGCTCTTACGCGGGAACGTCGCCATGTCACGAGTTACTTTTTGACACGCCTACTCCCCCGCACCCTCCAAACTCTGCTGGGCGACAATAATCCTGCCTTAACCGACCTTGCCCTGTTCTTCGTGATTGAGTCGCCATTGGGTAGTATGATCTGACGGGATCTGACTCCCCACTTTAGCCCCGGTGGTACCTACGAGCAATGCCGGGAGAAGACATCGGCCTGGAACGCAAGGTAACCAAGCTTTTGCTCACAGGTTTTTCCCACATATATGCGATAAATTATTATCTTGAATGACGGTCCTTGTTCACCATATTTTAGGCTATGAAAACAACATCGTATATGTGTGGTTTTCCCGTGTTTTCCCTCTCTAAAGTAGTCACCGGACCTATTTAGGACAATCCGGCTTTTGTGCGGGATTAATGAGGGAGCCCCGCTTTCCTCTCTTGGCGAATAGCGTAAGTTGAAGCTACTAAAAAAGGCTTCTACGGCTACCCCCCAAAACAGCTAGCACATCCGTTTTTTATGCCTCACCTCTAGCTCAACGGGCGCCAAACAGACGGTTCGTCTTTGGGACGTTACACTTTACACAGGATTTCCAGGACAAGTAACACTGTGCTAAGTAACCAGTGCATAAGAAGATAACCAGTACATCACACGAGGAAAAGAAGGGTTAGAAAAAATGCCTGGCACAAGTTATGAGCTTCATTTCAGCTGTAGCACTTACCACGTGTAACACTTATAGCCTGCGATGCCACGCTTTTGCCTGTGGCACTTACAACCTGCAATGGCCGTTCCTTTTATGGATGGCTTACACAACGGTCTGGAGCAAATCAGACCATGTAACACAGGCTTTTATTTATGCTTGAATACTTAATACATTGTGCGACAAACACTTAAAATACTATTGGTGCGTAACGAAAAGAGACAGCTTTTACTCGTAGGGCCTCTTTTCGATGATGCTAGTGAATCAGAATCACAAGACAAATTGTCAACGACCATGACAGGCCTTGCTGTGCAATAGTGCGGCGGTACGAGCCAGACAAAATCCCAAGGCACCGCTCAGCTGTCTGTGCTTATTCGTCGTGAGGAGAATTCCTGTTCGCATAGACGGCTTGCTAGATGCCTATTTTATGCATGTACGTCACGGCAGGAGGTCTGCCACCACGAGACTTTTCGCCAGTCGGTAGTCGCCTTCTCTTACGCGAATCTCCTCCACCGACAAGCACCAGTCTCGGACTCCGCTAATCCCTGCTAATGTACTGTCTTCAGGACAACTAAAGATATGCTCTCTGGAACTTTGCACCAGGCTTCATTTTCGTCGAAGCTGGTTGAACTATCATAAAAGCCTGGTCGGTCCCTACTCCGACATATATCTGTGCTGTGCTGGCCTCCATCCGCAGAGCCTGGCAGTCAGTGACCACCCGCTCACCTATTCGCTTAGTTTTAATCGCTGCGAGCGTGGCCGCGGACCGAGTAAGTCTGACACACACACATACACACACACACACACACACACCACACACACACACACACACACACACACACACACACCACACACACACACACACACACACACACACCA